TGTGGAAGCTAGTATGGAGGCTCCTCAAAAAATTAAAAATAAAACTATCCTACAATCTAGCAATTGCACTAGTAGGTATTCAGCCAAGGAATACAAAAATACTAATGCAAAGGGATACATGCACCCCCATGTGTACAGCAGCATTATCTACAATAGCCGAATTATGGAAACAGACCAAGTGCCCATCAACTAATCAATGGATAAAGAAAATGTGGTGTGTGTATATATACATACATATACACACATACATAAATACGCATATACATGTGTGTATGTACAACGGAATATCACTCATCCATCAAAAAGAATGAAATCTTCCCATTTACAACAACAGGGATGGAGCTAGAGAGTATAATGCTCAGCAAAATAAAGAAGTCAGAGAAAGACAAATACCACTCCTGTGTGGCATTTAAAAACCAACACAAACACACAGAGGAAGGTAAAAAACAAAGAAAGGCAAACCAAGAAACAGACTCTTCACTAGAGGACACACTGGTGGTTACAGAGGGGAGCTGGGTGGGGGGCTGGGGGAGTAGGTGAGGGGGATTAAGGGAGGGCGCTTGCTGTGATGAGCACCTGTGAGGTATGCAGGTGCTGAATCACTACACTGTACACCTGAAACTAGTATTATGCGGTATGTTGTTAACTAATATTGCTCTGTATGGTAACTAACTGGAATTTAAATAAAAACTCTTTAAAAAAAAGTGTTCAGAGGACAGGGAGGCAAATCAAGGTGAAAGCAGCACCTTCCAAATGAAAAATCAAAAGTACTTCATTAATCACAAAGCATTCATTTTTTTTTTTTAAGTACCAGAAACAATTTCTTTTTGAAATTTCTACTGAAAGGATAGATCTATGTGTGCATGTAGTCTGCCCAGCAGAACGAAATGTTTTGAGTAAATATCAGTTTCATCATTTCCACTGTGATCTATGATACCTAAATATACTGATTGGAATAGAGTCAAGTCAATGCAGTTAAAAGGTCACATGAATTACTTTTTCAGACATCACTTTGTTTAGGGGAAGATTTTGTTTAAAATAAGCCAACTGAGGGGCACCAGCCTGGCTCAGTTGGTGCGGCATGTGATTCTTGATCTCGGGGTTGTGAGTTCGAGCCCCAAGTTGGGTGTGGATATTACTCAAAAATAAAATCTTTAAAAAAAGAAAATAAAATAAGCTGAGAAGGAGGGGGGGGCATCTCAGATGGCAGGAAACCTACATCATCTCCAGGGTAGTAAATATCAAAGAACACATACACACAGTATATGTTAATTATGAACGCGCATAGGTATACACACACAAAGTCCTAGGGTCTTTAAACTGCTGGCCAAGGCCATGGCTTCTGGGCAGGAAGGAGGTGGCATAGTATATCAAACTACTTTCTCTCTCTTGACTTAGCAAAATGTTAAAAAATGCTATAGAAGGTGACAGAACACTATAGAAGTTAGGATGATCTTAACTCAATAGTAATAAGCAAAAGAAAATCTATTGTGCTGAAAAAGAACATCAGGCCAGGTACCAGGAGCTCTGGCATGGGGACGAGGAGAGGAGTGACGATAGTGGGGACAGAGGTCAGTGGGACACCTGTGGCAGAGAGCAGGGAGGCACATCCACCCCATTGTGCTTACTATCCTGCTGATAACAGTCTGGTCCTGGCAAAGCTCAAGCTATCAGAAGCCGGACAAGACCTGCTGAAAGTGAGGCTGTGCTCCTTGCCTCCCTGATGAAAAGGGAAGCCTGAGAACGGAGAAGGGTCCAGATAAGGAATTACTCAGAATGAGAGGTGCATGGTCTTCAGGACACCAGCAGCACAAGCAACAAAAGACAAAAACACACAAATCGGACTTCATCACCATTAAAAATGTTTGTGCTGCAAAAGACACTATCAGGAAAGTGAAAATACCCCGTTTGGGAGAAATATTTGAAAACAATTTTTATCCAAAATATACAAAGAATTTTTAGAATAAAAAGACAAGTAACCCAATTAAAATATTAGGCAAAGGATTTAAACAGATATTTCTCCAAAAAAAGTATATAAATAACTAATAAGCACATAGAAAGGTGCTCAACGTCATTAATCATTAGGGAAATGCAAATCAAAACCAGAATAAAGATGTCACTTCACACATAATGAGATGGCTGTAATAAAAAACATAGGTGGGGCACCTGAGTGGCTCAGTAGGTTAAGTGACCGTCCAACTTCAGTTCAGGTCATGATCTCGCAGTTTGTGAGTTTGAACCCCACGTCAGACCACTGTGCTGACCGCTCAGAACCTGGAGCCTGCTTCGGATTCTGTGTGTGTCTCTCTCTCTACCCCTCCCCGACTCACGCTCACGCATGTGCTCTCTCACTCTAATAAATAAACATTAAACAAATTAAAAAAAAAAAAGATGGGTAACAAGTGTCGGCCAGTATGTGGAGAAATTAAAACCCTCATACATTGCTGGTGGGAATGAGAAATTATGCAGCCACTGTGGAAAATGGTTTGAAAGTTCCTCAGAGTTAAACAAAGAGTTACCATATGGACCCAGGAACTCCACTCCTAGGTAGACACCCAAAAGAATTAAAACCATATGCCCACACAAAAACTTGTACACAGATATTCATAGCAGCGTTACTCATGATAGCCAAAAAGTGGAAACAACCTAAATATCTATCAGCTGAGGAATGGATAAACGAAATGGGAGTCTATCCATACAATGGAACGTTATTGGCCACAAAAAGGAAAGAAGTACTGATACATGCTACAACGTGGACGAACTTTCAAAAGTCAGACACAAAAGGTGACATATTGGTAGCATACTAGATGGTACCCCTTATGTGAAATGTCCAGAACAGGCAAATTGAGAGAGAATGGGAGTACATTAGTGGCTGGGGCAAAGGGCAATAGAGAGCCACTGCCAATGGGCTCAGACTGCCCTCAGGTGGATCGGAGTTGGGAGTCTGTTTAGGCTACTACCCTCAGGACACCACGCTCTGATTCACTTGGATGAAGCCTCTGCTGCGCACGCCAGTTATTTACATCCAGTGAACGGGCCCACAGCTAAAGCAGTGGGAGGAGGGGATGCAGGGGGAGAGAACGTAAACCCTTCAACCAAAATGGCTTTTCATGTGCGAGGCAGTCTTACTCCAAAGGTGTGGGGCGCCCTGCGGAGCACGTGGAGAGCTCCGAGGAGATGGCACGCACAGCTGAGCCCACCGATCGCCACTATGCAAACTTTACACCCTACTGTCCCTCTCCTGTCGACTTCCTTACCATTCCAAGGGGTAGCCACTCTGATAAACAATGGCCAGTCCATGCCCTGATCATAAGAAGGGCTCAGACTCGACATGTATGGGAAGCCATTTGGAAGGCTTAATGCAGGAACATGAGTGGATCGAATTCATGTTTTTGTAAAAATCACTCTGGCTGATGTGAAAGCGCAGAACTGGGGAGACAGGTAAGGAGCCTGCTGTGGAGTCTGAGATGATGGAGATGTGATAAGGAAGCTTTCTGGATCCAGCAAGATGGTGAACTTGGCTTCTAAGTGAATCTCTCCCACTACAAACATGTAGAAATGTCTGATGAAATGCAATACAAAACTATTCTAAAACATAGCCAAGTTCTAAAGAAAATGGGAAGAAGAAAGAAAGCAGAACCTCTGCGAGAACTGAAGATGGAACTTGCAGCAGAAGTGGGAAGCACAGGACTGCCGAGGTAAGATGCCTGCAGGCTCCTCAGATGGGATTTTCCTCGTTCAGTGCAAGTGATGTGGTTTTGAATGTCACATTCAGTGGGAACTAGATCTGGGATCCCTTTAGAAAGGCAGAGCCCTGAAGTTTGCCTCCTCCAAGAGAGCCTAAAAACTCTACTCACCAGCCTATGGAAGCCTGTTTCTGTTTGGGGCTTTGGATGAGAAATTAACCCCAACACTAAGCCCTCTACAGATGTATCTGAATTTATACTTCCTATGTGCCACAGGAATCCCAAACCAGGGAATTCATATCAAACTAGTCCAGTGACAGCGAACCTCCTGGGGTATCCAACAGGGGCAAACACAAAAACTGCTCTGTGGGGACAGATTTACAATCCAGGGTGCTTGGGACTTACACAGAAAATGATCCATTCAGCTAAAGACAAGCTCACGGTAAAAACACATGACCATATTAATCCACAATCCAACATAAGAGCTGATGCCACCACAGACGGGAATTAACACCTCAATGAACTTAAAATAATAGGAGACTGAAAGAGATTCTAAAATTATTTAAAAAATGAAAGCAAGAACAGAAGTCAAGATGAAAGAACAGGACAGTCTGAGAAAGAGATGACGGTGGCCAGGAGAAGGTGGCTACACTGCAGACAGTGAGACAAATGGACTCAAGCTATATGTGAAGGGACAGCTTTCAGGAACCGCGGACTGGCTGAACATGGAAGGAAGGAATCAACAAGAATTCCTAGCCGTTAGCTTAAGCAACGACCTGTATGCTGCCCCATTTACTGAAATGGAAGTAGAGGAGGAAGAGCTTAGTGGAGAGATGGTGGGCTGAACGTGCTGAGTTTGGGACTTGGATTAGACATCCAAGCAAAGACATCAAGCAGGAAGTTGAATATTTAAATCCAGAGCCTGAGTTAGAACATGAGAGTAGAGAAATCACTTTAGGCATTAGGAGCATATAGGTGATATTTAAAACCTTGTAAATTACTATCTATTTATTCTTTAAGATTTAACTTCAGAGGCACCTCCATGAAGCCTTAAACGACCTCTTAAGCACAGTGAAAGGCTCTGGAAGTAACCTGTATCTCTCTTACACACTCTGGGACTTTGTTTATTTACATGTCTCCCCACCATCTTTAACACCTGGCCCAGTGCCTGGAATACAACCAGGAGTCACCATGTTTATTCTGTTCCTGGATGGATGACTCTTCTAGGGTTCTGAATGCTGGCCCCTGGCACAGGATCCTAGAAAGGGTGGGCGGGCACTCCAAAATATTTACTCAATGAATAAATGAGCTAACCTTCTGAGCAGCTAGACTTTGACTGCTTTCACTCAGAGCCAAAGATGTGAAATACTGGATACACTCATCTAGCTCCGTTTGAGGTAAAGAAGCCAGCAACTGTCTGAGCTCTTCTTCAATGCAAGTATCCTGGAATAAAAGGAGAAACAATGCCCCATAGTTAAGCTCAACAACAGAGTACCACAAAAGTACCCAAAGAATCAAAACAAAACAAAACAAAACAAAAGAGCAGAGATAAATTGGTGCTTTTAGTCTTGAAACGCCATCACCCACCCAGGTAAATGAGCATCACTTAACTTTGAGTTCTGGACTTCTGTGTCTGCTACCTCAGTCCAAAAACTGCACAGTTTAGCTCTCGATTTAAAATGGACTGTTATACTCTTTCTTCTTCTATTATGTTCTTGCTTCTAAAACCCAGAACTCATTAGTCATTTTCTCTAATAACTTACATCTAGCATGTTCATTTTTCTAATTTTCAACAACTGATTGCAAGTTTTCTGATTTTCATTTTCTAGGAAGGCCTAGAAAAGCTGCTCAAGAAGCACACTCTAATACCTATTAGTGGTTAGTATTTAACAACTATGAGGAGTACTACATTGATATGTACATGTAGTGGTTAGTAAATACCTATGCAAAGTGATACATTAGTATCTACATGTGGTGGTTTTCCAGGGGCTGTTTTGAGCCCCAGGAAACATTTAGCAATATCTTCAGTTTTGGTTGTTACAGCTTTGGGGATGCTACCGGCATCCAATGAGTAGATGCCAGGGATGCAGCTAGACACCCTATAATGTACAGAACAATCTTCAACAACAAAGAATTATTCATCTCAAAATGTTAGGAGTGTTGAGGCTGAGAAAAACTGATCTATAGCAATATTAGAACAAGTGACCAACTCATCGATGTTAATAGGCTATGAAGTTACCATCTGGTGTATAGAGACTTCCAATACCCAAAAGGGAAAATAACACAAGAGAAACAACATCTCCTGATAAACCAGGAAATCTTGGTATAAAAACTACAATTTCAGGTTTATATCTAGTTCACCTGCTTGTGAAAAGTAGACAACAAACTGGTGGGTTTTTGGTTTTTTTTCAAACTACTTTTTGAAAGGTTACTCTGCACCCTTCAGAGTGAAGATGTGATATGTTAATTTATTTTTCACTCACTGGATTATTTTATTACTTACTTCATTTAAAGATGGCAAAGGAGGTGGTGGCAGGAAAAAACGAAGATCACTCTCTTTGCTTCGTGCCAAACCGATAAGAGTTCTCAGATCACAGGCTTGAGCAATTATCCTATACTGGTAATCTATTGTAAAAGTTTGTTGTTAGCACCCAAGTTGGCTAATAGCTGTTTCAAGAATTAAATAAACAATTTAATTTTTAAACTACAAGTTTATGATTCAAAATTTCCCAAGTCTCTGTTCACAATGTCAACTGCCTTTACAATACCAGTAAGCCAGATGTCCAACATTTCCAGGACTGATCTCACATTTCTCCTCAACATATATGTAGGCATATCACAATCTAACTAACCTTTTGAAGAACTGAACCTTAAATGTGAAAATCGATAGGTCAGAACCAATTTAACTTCTCCTTTTTTTTGTAATAATTCTAGTGTTTAAAAACTGTTTTGCTCACTACTCAAAAAACCTGAGGCTGCATTGAGATCTACTGTCCCTGATACAGGATGGTGCTTTGGCATTACATGATGTCCATGAATAATGTGAGGTTCCAGATGGTGGTACTTTGTTTTAGTCTTCATGATTTCACCACTCCATCCTTTATGTATTGCCCTGAATGTTTGTGTCCCCCCTCCCCTGATACATACATGGAAACCTAAGCCCCCATGTCATGGTATTTGGAGGTGTGAAGTCTCTGGGAGCCCTCATGACTGGCATTACTGCCCTTATAAAAGAGACCCAGAGAGATCCTTTGTCTCCTCCACCCCGTGAGGACACAGTGAAAAGCTGGTCATCTATGAACCAGGAAGCACACCCTCACCAGACACCAATCTGCTGGCCCTCTGATCTTATATTTTCCAGCCTACAGAACTTTAAGAAATAAATTTGTATTGTTTATAAGCCACCAGTCTATGGTATTGTGTTATAGCAGCCCAAATGGACTGAGCTATGTATTGTAAACAAAACTGCAACCCTGAAGCAGACATTATTTTTAATAATGGGTGAGTTCTTCAAGATCAAGTGGGGAACTTTTCCAAAACCTACATGCTAGGGCTCCAACTCTGATTTTTCTGATATAGTAAATCTGAAATGGAATCCTGGAAGGTAGTTTTTTTTTTTTTTTTTAAAGATTTTTATTCTAAGTCTTCAACGTTTATTTATTTTTGGGACAGAGAGAGACAGAGCGTGAACGGGGGAGGGGCAGAGAGAGAGGGAGACACAGAATCTGAAACAGGCTCCAGGCTCTGAGCCATCAGCCCAGAGCCCGACGCGGGGCTCGAACTCACGGACCGCGAGATCGTGACCTGGCTGAAGTCGGACGCCCAACCGACTGCGCCACCCAGGCGCCCCTTTTATTCTAAGTCTTCAAAGTAAGCTTACATTGTACGTTATTAAAATTACACCCACCAATCAATTAATTAGGATGTATAGAGGCAGAGATCTTATTCTGACACTTTTCTTTGAAAACATTATTTTTTATTTAATTGTTTTAATTAACTTATTTTTGACAGAGAGAAAGAGTATGCGGGAGGGGCAGAGAGAGACGGAGACAGAGGATATGTCTGATAGCACTGGGCCCGAAGTGGGGCTCAAATTCATGAACTGAACTGAAGTTGGACATTTAACCTACTGAGCCACCCAGGCACCCATAACACTATTCTTTTTTATTTACCCCTTTTTATAAGATAACTCTACTAAAAAAGTACACTTTAGTCACTGTAATCAGAGCAAATCTAAACTCTTGCTTATGTACTTATACTGCAGAAGATGCAGTTGTTAAATACAAGTAAATATTTTAAATCTTCCTTTAAAAATACACACACACAAATCAGGTACATTTAGCCAATTATTAGTATTGGAGCCAAGCAGATTGTCAAAGGGAAAGCAAATATAACTGTATGGTACAGCGAGTGATTAAAATATGTCATTAAATAGGAACTGAAAGAAGATCCAAATACAACATTAGGCTATAGCTAATCGGTACCAAGAGTTTCTCTAACCAAGCAAAACTTCATTCTGGTAGAAAGTTACACAAATAGATAGATCTTCCCCAGTTTTGAAGCTGTTCTTAACCAACCTTATCCTGCTACCAGGCCAGCAGGCTTCCTACTTTCTCTATCACCGGAGTTTCTTTCAAAAACTTTTGAAAATAATTTTTGTATATATTAAGGTATGCTGAATTATTTTCCTTTCCTAGCATCTCCTTTCTTTCCCTTTATATCAGAGGTCAGGCACGAGCTGGTGGCGGGGCAGGTGCACAGAGGGGCTCATTACCATGCCAGTGGTGGGTCTCCGACATCTCCTGTACGGCCTGCAATCGCGCTGTCCTGTCCCCCGACTGGCTCTTCCTCAGGAGCAGCCACACAGCACATTCATGATCCTCCACATCGATGGTACTAAAAGTGTCTTTGCGGAAAGAAAAAAGAACAAGACCACGTAAACAGTGTGAACAGTTAAAACAACATTGTGTCCTCTCGCTTATTTAAGATGGTAGTTTGCAAGGATTTGAAATCCACAATAACGGAGTAAAATCCATTTCCAGGTATTGATAACGACTGACAGGGTTGTTCTCAGTTCTGCCATAGTATTTTGTTATATTTATTATGTATGTTATTAGGTCCTTTTGTTTTATATACTATGTTGCTTTCACAAAGTGGTCTCTTGTTCTTTTTCCTTAAAAACTTTTCTATTATGAAACATATCAAACATATAGAATCAAATACACTCACATCCATATGTTTACCACAACTATATTTAATCAATTTTATTATTTTGCCATATTTACTTTATATGCACGTGTGTGTATTTTTTTCTAAACCATGTGAAAGGAAGCTGCAGACGTAACATTTCACCCTTTCTCAGTCAACCCGATCTCCTAATAAGCCTGCATTCTCCTATATACTCACGATGCCATTATAACACCCAAGAACACTAAAACAAAAATCTTCCAAAACCATCTAAAATCCAGCCTATCGCCATATTCGAATTTCTCCAAGTGTCCCCAAAATATCTTCAGAGCTGTTTTTTAAAAACCGGGATTTGATTAAGTCTCTTTAGTATCTTTTAATTATTTAAAAAAAAAATATTTATTTATTTTGCGAGTGAGCGAGCAAGGGAGGGGCAGAGAAAGGGGGAGGCAGAATCTCAAGCAGTCTCCATGCTGCCAGCGCAGAGCCCAACACGGGGCTCAAACCTACAAACCGTCAGCTCATAACCTGAGCCAAAACCAAGAGTCAGATGCTTGATTCACTGAGGTACCCAGGCACCTCTAGTATCTTTTAATTCTTAAAAATGTTCTCACCTTTTTCATGATGCCAACTTTGTAAAGAGATTGAGTAAGCTCTTTCATAGCTAACTCCACAGTGTAGATTTGCTTGATTGTAAAATCTACATTATTGATGCAATTTCTCATGATCAGAAAGCATGGGAGTGATTTTCTAACAAATTTAAAATTTTGAAACACTCGTCAAGAGAAAAGGATATATTTAGTCTCAATATTCCCCTACAGCTATCTAACAACAAAACATCCACAAAGTGGAAGGAAGAAAACTGTCCATCAAGCCCTTAAAATTAAATAGAGCCCAAGAGAATAATGTCACTCAACCTTCCATATCTATAATAAATGTCAGTATAAGAGATGGGGAAAAAAGATCTCAAGTTGATCACCAAATGACGTTCAGATACTGATAAAGATTCCAAGTTAAATATTTGGTACCTACCGGCAAATGGGCCCCGCAGTATCTTGGCTGATGTTGCCAAAACTTTTCTTACTGCTTTGTGAAGCTCTCTTCTTGCCTGGTAAGTGATTCCTAAAATGATTACAAATTTAGATAAAACCAAGTATATATGCTTAATCCTATGCTCTAATACTTCAAAGAGAAATATATAAGCTACAAATTTTTTGAAAAACATAAAATAGCATTTTTCTCTTTCATTGTAACTATCAAAACAACTAAAACCATTATGCAAACACAGAACACTAGATCCCAAAATAAGACTTCTCTCCAAGTCAGGAAAAAAGTAAAAAACTAAACAAAAACAAAAACACTATCTAACTAAAGCTAACAAAAATCCTCACATGCAACATAGGTTTAACTACATTCAGGAAAATGTCCCTTAACAATAGCCCTTCTCAAACTGAAATCTGGGGATACCTTAATGAGATTTATCTTTGTGATACAGATAAATTGTAAACTATAAAAATTATCTGTGTAATTGAAATTGTAATACACCAGGTGAGATAATAATAAATACAAACAGGACAGAGTGGTGACACAGACAGCTACAGACAGGGGAAACCAGAACCTGTCCCACTCAGGGAACATAATGTACTACCAGACATGATTATTCTGGCCAACAATGTAGGAACAGGCAGCTGTAAGTCAAGTGTAGTGACTCACCAGGCTACCCATATCTTGATGAAAAGATATGTATGCCTCTGCTCTAAAACTTCATGTTCACCAAACAACTGTCTGGTTACTAATTAGGTTTCCATGTGACCTAAATATGGAGAACAGGAATGTTCTGACTAATAAAGACAGGTTTTCCAGCCTCTGTGACAGATTTTTTGCCCTCTGTTAATAAGTTGGTATTCACATTTATGAATCCATGAGATGATTTTAGTTTGCATGAATAAATTCCTTAAAGCAGAAATATATCTAAGTAACAAAAATCATATTTTTATATTTGCCAAACTGAGGGCCAACCTCTGAAATGATGACCTTCACTATGGTGTGGAATTCCAAGGTTAGACTAAAATAGCCAGCTCGTCTTCGTGTCGTTTAGTTACAGAAGAATCGCAAACCAAATTAAATACGGAAGTCAAAAATCTGGCCTTCCATTAATCTTTAGGAATGTGGTTCTTACAGGATTTGGTGATTCTTAGAATCAGCTGAACCTATCTTGTTAATATTGTGTTTTAAACACTCATCTTAAAATTTAATAACTAGCTTCCATTTTTCACAAAAATGGGATTACTTTACCATAAACTTACCATAATTTTCTCTTTTATCTAAAGAAACTGTGTGCAAATATATGTATGACTTCATTTTTTCTCTTTCTACTACTTGAGTATCTAATGTCAAAGACTTCTTCAGAGCCAGAACTTCATATGTAAGAAATAAAGAACCGCTTAAAAAGAAACAAGAAATTCATCATAAATACATGATGTAAACGTAACATAAGAGTCACTTTTTTTTTTTTACATGACAGAATAACAGAATTATATTGGCTATGGAGCTCATCAGATTATTCAGTATCACATAAATTGAATGGCCCAACCTGTACAACAGCCCAGCTCCTGAACCAGTAGATTGAGAAGACTATTTCCTATAAGTGGTGAAAAAAGGTAAAAGGGAAGAATTTCCCAAAATAGGATGGGAAAATAGTACTTAGTAAACACTGAGTGAGATAAAACGTGTTTTGAACAAAAAGTTTTATACACACCATCAATTTGCACCCCGTAATAAACAGAAGTTCCCTCAATATATACACTGTTGAGTAAGCCAGTATATTATTAAGCTTTTTGCAGCGGACTTTTTCATTTTTTATTGTGAAATAGAATACACATACAGTAATGTGCATATAATATACACTATATTTATGTACACATATATAAATGTATATATTTGTTATTCATGAATAATTATTATAATGCATTATAATAAATGAACTATTATTCATTTTAATGAATAATAATAATTACAATATCCAGGCAAAAAGCAGAACATTAACAGTACCTCAGAAGCCCACAGTGCGTCCCTTCCTGATTCTGACCCACTCTCTCATCTCTATAGCTAATTATCATCTTGATTTTTATTATAATAATGTCCTTGTTTCTCTTTATAGCTTGCCATCTATACACGCATCCTTAAACAACAGAGCTTAGTTTTGTCTGTCTGTAGACTTCATAGGAATGGAATCACACTGTTACGTATTCTTTTGCTCAGCTGCTTGTTTGTGAGATTCATTCCTGGTGTTGCATGTATCAGTAGTTTGTGCGTTTGTATTTTCCTATGGTCTGTGATGCAGCCATTGTATGGGTATACAACTTAGCCATTCTATCACAGATGGGCATTCAGGGAATTTCTAGCTTGAGTCTATTACAAACAATCCTGTTACACATCTTACACATCTACGCTGTAACACATGTGGATTTGTTCCTTTAAGATACTCATCTAGAAGTAGAATTACGGACTTTCTGACTATATATATACTATTCACCTTTATTAGATACTGTCAAACTGTTTTTCCAAAAAGATAAGCCGATCTGTACTCCCACCACCAGCATATGAAAGTTTCTCCTTTCCTAAGAGCCTCAAGTCAAGTTAAAGTCTCCTAAAGTCAATTTTTAAATGTGAAATACAACGTTCTTTGTTATGTACCCAAAATGAAGGAAATAAAGGGGTTTTTCCCTGATCAGACTGACCTACACGCTCCCTAAATCCAGACACAAAGGCTGCACTGTCTGGGCTCAGGGCTTTATAACATCAGTTATAGTAAGCATTCTTCTGATCTTTGGTTTCCACCCTAAAGTTAAAGCAGGCAAGACAGAAAGGCCAGACACTGGCCAGCACCAGAGAAATAGACGGTCCTGAAGAATTCTCTCCTCTCTTGGGGAACTATCTGAGCACCCAAAAAGAGCAAATGCATTCAGTATTTTTATCATGCTTTCCATGAAAGACAAAATTCTTTACTAGAAACTATGCGATTAATTTTCACTATATTCCTGCGAAATAATTGCAAAATAGACAAAGTGTATTAAATTTATCTTTTGCCTGGAATGATTCAAAGAGAAAAATCATCTGTCTTTTGCCTTACATTGGTATCATGGAGAAGTGTATGTATTTGAATAAAAGGCCAAATATGCCTCCTTTATAGTTTTAGCACCTAAGAGTTGTATATGTGTGTATATATATCTATATGATCTCACATATAACAGCAAAAAAAGAGTAGTATAGCGGGGCGCCTGGGTAGACTCAGTCGGTTAAGCATCCGACTTTGGCTCGGGTCATGATCTCACAGTTCGTGAGGTCGAGCCCTGCGTCAGGCTCTGTGCTGACAGCGTAGAGCCTGGAGCCTGCTTCAAATTCTGTGTCTCCCTCTCTCTCTCTGCTCCTCCCCCACTCATGCTCTGTCTGTCTCTCCTTCAAAAATAAATAAAAACATTAAAAAAAAAGTAGTATTAACAAATAGAGAATTGTATTAGACATATATTAACATATACACCCTCCTTTCCCCCCAAAAAAGGAAGGAAAGTCGCTCCATTCATTAAGCATGTGCCTCTGAAGAGCATGAGATGGAAGATGCCAATCTGTTGGTTTTCTCAGTTCAGCCTCAATTTCCTTTCACGAGAGCTCTATGGTGACTTAAAGGGTTTTCAAAAATTATTCTGGCTACAGTCAATTTTCACCTTTTTTACCCACTTTAGAACTCAACACGAGATGTGATTTTAGGTGCACGAGAGCTAATTAACCAGCACCTGCTCTGTATGCATGTCAAGTGCTCTCCCCAGAGCAACAATGCCTGGTGGGTAGAATGCCTCCCATACCCTTGGATCCAAGATAAGGCACTCCTCAGAAAGTAAAGTAACTGAATCGAGACAACACTGAAGGGGTCGAACCAGTGATTAATCCACCTAATTCCAAAATCTGTACCCTATTTGCCACCCTATGCTACCTGGAAATCACTTCCACTGAGATTTCAAATAGTAGTATAAAGAAGCCAATTAACATTTCACAGTTGATACTTACCCTAAAATAAGTGATCCAGTAAACTTTATTATATTTCCTTCAAAAAGAAAGGAAAAAAGTCAACGGGATGAGTTTCATTTTTAAAATGTGACAGGAAATAGGCAAGTGTCTCTCCTTATATTATACAATTGGATAAGAAGTCATTGCTATTCTTCCATGAACATGATCAGTTACTACCAACACAAGGCTTCTTCCTAACCCCAGATGCAGACGAACCAAAAAACACTGGGTAAAAAAATATAATCTGCATTTCATACTCCTCCTCATTTCACACTATTCTCCCCTTCTTGTATCTCTTATTCTGTCATTCCCAGCAAATCAGAGACCCTAGACCTGCTGCACTACTAATAATGCCAGGCCTACAGTGCTTCCACTGAAGGTGACAGCCATGAAGCTAACTTGCCTTCTGACTCCTTTTAGTTCACAACCAGTAAAATAGAAGGATGGGGAGAGTTCTATCACTACTAGGGCTATATTGAAGGAATTATGCTTGTGACATAAGGACACAAAGTGACTTTTCCCAAAGTAATTATGTTATAGTTGCTGGGTAAGTGCCATATGTACATAACCCAATTAAAAATAATGGTTACATTCAAGTTTACTTATAAAAATTTTTAATGTAAAAAAGAACTCCTAGTGGAAAACACAGATAGTTGTCTATCTGATGCACACAAGCCCCTTAATCTGTACTGCACAACCTGATTACTATCTAAAAATATTTGAATTCCTGACTCTGGCAGCTAGGGCTGGCTATGCAACACAGTTACAGCCAATCAGATATAAATGCGAGTCCGTAAGTAGAGATCCCTCTTCAAATACAGAGACAAGGTTTCATAAGATGACTTTTGGCCCTTCTGCTTTCTGGATGTCTAGAGATTCAGCAACCATCTTGTGACCATGAGGACAATAAAGATAACGGAGCAGGAAGATAGGAGGATTGCTAAACTGCAATTCCTGCTCTAAACAGTCTGTTTTGACTGTTAGGTAAGAAAAATGAAAACTTTACTAATTGAAGCCACTGTAGTCAAGCTTCTGTTACATGCACTGAACACAACCTTAACTGATGCATTACCCAAGATGGTTAGGGTCTGCCACCAGTCCACAAAACCTATGTAACCTTTAATTTATTGGATGTGTAGAGGTGGCCCTTTGTCAGACTCTCCACTTAGGCTGCTGACAACATATTTCCCCTCCCTACTGAGGGATAAGGAACTCTCCTCAACTGACTTCTCTAGGCATCAGGCATGGAAGATGGACATTCCTCCCAAACTCTAAGACCTGAGTAGTGGTTCCAGAACCGGGAAGGAGACAGTTCCAGGAGGTCTGCAGGGATGAGATCCAAAGCTGAGACAAAGCTTCCTGACTGTGCAGCTCCTCTAGGATTTTTTTCTTTCCAAGATGGCTTCCTGGACTGCCTTCCCTCCATGCTCACCCTGGAGGCCCTGGGAGCCACTCTCTGCTTTCTCTACTGCTACCACTTGCTATGTTTCTTTTTACTAGGCCCTGGGAACAGAATACAGTCTCACAGCCTTTTCTCCTATCCTAAAGTTAATTCACTACTCTTGAGTTTGTCCTTTAGAAATGAGAGAAAAAGCTCCCTTTTCCCTCCCCACCCTCTTTTTATGTTTAAAATACACAATCACAGGGGCGCCTGGGTGGCGCAGTCGGTTAAGCGTCCGACTTCAGCCAGGTCACGATCTCGCGGTCCGTGAGTTCGAGCCCCGCGTCGGGCTCTGGGCTGATGGCTCGGAGCCTGGAGCCTGTTTCCGATTCTGTGTCTCCCTCTCTCTCTGCCCCTCCCCCGTTCATGCTCTGTCTCTCTCTGTCCCAAAAAAATAAATAAACATTAAATTAGCTGTCAAATTAAATATGTTATCATTGTTCTAAACACGCAGAATGTCCCTGGCTGCTTATTGTATCATCTGTTGCAGAAGAATAGGAGCCTCAACTCCTCCTCCCCAAAGCACCACGTACTGGAGAGACATCAGTGAGTACACTTTCAACAACAGTATTTCATATGGAAACAGTGATAGAATTATTTTCTATACCAATGGTGCACCCCAAATTTGTGGGCCCAGAGCCATGCCATGCATATTCCTTTCTCTTGAGAATCTTTTTCCTCCCCTATGTTTCCTGTCAAATTCATGCTCATCTTTTCAAAGTCGAGTATCACCACATTCTCACTCAGCAGTAAGTTTCTGCAAAAACAAGTGCCAGACACATGTACTGCGTTCTGGGAATTCAGCGGTGAGCCAAGAAGATAGTGTACTTGCCCTATGGGCGGTTAGGGTCTAGTGCTGATTTAGTATCTTTATTTGTAAATCTTTATTTACCTATTTATTACTAACCTTTATTTGTAAAAGAGAAGATAGGCCTAGATCATCTTTAATTCATTTGGCAAATTATTTATTTACCATTTACTCTATGCCAAGTACTATTCTAGGCCCTTAGGATACAATATGGATTGAGACAAAGTCCTGTTTTCAGGGAGCTTCTGTTTGCTCTGTAAGATAGATCTTTTTT